GGCCGCCAGTTTGACACCCCTGTTCTAAACCATCTTTGAAAATAATAAAGTCCCTCCCCCCACTTAGCTTTTAGTCCAAATTCCAGTTCTGTACAAGTAGTTTCTCTTCTGGGTTTCCTCCCCCCAACACACACCCCTCTTCCTGTATTCAGGTTCTGGTTGGGTGCCCATTAGTGGTGGAGCCACCCAGATTCTGGCAGTAAAGGAGAAATGAGGAGAGAAAATGGGGTGGTCTGTGGTGGGGTTTTCTTGGTAAATATTTACACTCAATTTTTCTCATAGGATAGAAACGTTCAGTCTCTGGACCCCAACAAACGTGGCTTCCAATCCTTGCTCTTCTTAACTTGTGACCATGAGTAATTCATTCACTTACTCTATCTGAGCCTCAGTCCATTACCTGAAAAACAGATATAAGAATTGAAAGCATTATGCTGAGGGCATTAAGTCTGCCACCGAAGGACAGATCCTACGTGGTCCTTCCTTTATGACGTATCTCAAAGGGGAAAGTTCCTTAGTGATTTCCAGGGTGGGCAGGAGGGGGGCGGCGCTCATTGTTCAGGGTGCACGAAGCTTCTGTTAGGATGAAGAAGAAACTGAGAGCAGAGAGATGAAGATGGTTGACCAAGATGGTAATTATCACTCATGGCACAGAATTGTACATGTGAAGACTATCGAAAGGGCCACTGTTCTGTTACATAAATATTGACCTCAAAATTTTTTTAAACAGTGGGGACAGTAATCGTACCTATCTGTGGGTTTTTTCTTGGCACACCACCTGATACAGAATAAAGCCTCAGTGCTAGTTGTTAGGGTTTATAGTAGTGCAACCAACAAGCTTGAGAGAGACTCGCTGACTTATTGTAGTCAGACAAACCACGGAAGAGGTCCAATAGGGAGAACATGGTGGACTAATCACTATGGTCGGTGCATAAACATTTTGGTGCACATCGATTGCTTTCAAGGTGAAAGGGTTTGCCCCACTCCCCTCCAGACCATTTTCAATTAGATTGATCCTAGAGGAGATGTGGACGCAATCCAGGGAAGTCATCCAGATTTGTAGACCCCAAGTGGTAGGTCAGAGGACCTTCCGTCTTAGCAGAAGAGGGGCTTGCATGGAGGTCTCTAGGCCCACCATTGCTTCTTCCTTGCTGCCTGTAGGAGAACTCTATAAGAGGGAGGACAGTTGGTGGTTGAAACACCAGCCTCAAGCAACAGACAGCCTGATGCTTAAGCCTGACTTGCCATTGCTCAGTGACCTAATCAGAAATATGGGGCTTCAGTAACACCCACCTGACTGAGCTGTGATGAGGAATTAGGAAGCTCCTACCTGTAGTTACAGCTGAGTCGGTTCGGGCTTGTGGCAGTTACATAATCTGGTGTTAACTTGCAAAGGGGTGGAGACTAGCCTATCAATCAGGTCAGTCTCCAACATGTGAATGCAACATACTGGCATGAAGCAGGGAACCAGTAGAGAGGTCTGAGGGGCCGGCCCCAATCCCAACTACATGGACAGCCGCCCCTTCCCCCGAGAAGAATTTACTTCAGAGGACAGCACTGAAGCTACAGCTCAGAAAGAGGGACATGTCTGATCAGAGCACATGGGAGCAAATGAAGGGGGAGGAAGAGAGAGTGGAGCACATCCTGGCCCACCAAGCCTTGACGTTGAGATTCCCACTCAGAGCAGCCAATCCACAGAGAGGACCATATGGCTGATTCCACTACAAGACATGACATCCCTCACTGACCCACAGCCTTATAGGGGACAACACTGGAGGCACAGTGTGGGAATTGTGCCCAATCTGACCCCACCTCACTGAGGCAAAACACTAAGGGTGTGCAACAGAACAGCAAGGGGAACAGAGCAATGAAGTCCTGAGGGAATACCAAAAATAAACTTTGGGGCCAGGGTGTGGCACCCCATCAGACTTGACCAGAAAACATTCCTAAAAGTCAACAGACCTTGAACTATTTACAGGCTTTTCTCTTTTTTGGTCATTATTTTGTTGTTGATGTTTTGTTTTCTTTTGTTGCTTTGTTTTGCTCTGTCTTGTTTTTGTGCATATTATTATTTCTGCAGGTCTATCTAGATAAGATAGGCAGGATAAACAGTCTAGAGGAGAAAGCAGCAGGACTGACAGTTCCAGGAGGACATGGGAGAGGGGGAGGTAGGGGAAAGGAAGTGGTGTTAACAAACCCAGGTACAAGGGAACAACAAGTGATCTAAAATAGGTGGCTGAGGAGGGAAGGGCAATGTAATCGAGAGGAATTACTGAAGCCCAAATGAAGGCTGAGCATTACAATGAGACAGGAGGAAAGTAAAAGGAAATAGAGTAGAGAACTAGGAGGCAAAGGGCATTTATAGAGGTCTAAATACAGGAATGTACATATGTATATATATTTATATATGATGATGGGGAAACATATTTATAGGTTTAGTATTAAGGTAGCACATGAACATTGGGCATCCACTCAAGTACTCCCTTAATAATAGAACTTTGTTCTATTAAACTGGCACTCCATGATGCTCACCTTCCCAACACGATTGCTGAAGACAGAGTGGGTGCATAAGCAAATGTGGTGAAGAAAGCTGATGGTGCCTGGATATTAAAAGATAAAGCATCTGGGATCTTAAAGGCTTGAAGATAAACATGCAGCCATCTAGCTGAGAAGCAACAAAGCCCACATGGAATAAGCACACCAGCCTGTGTGATCACGAGGTGTTGATGAGATCAGGTATCAGGCATCAAAGAACAAAAAATTGTGAATGAGGGGAAATTCAGATTGGGAACCCAAAGCTCATCTGTAAGCAACTGGACATCCCCTTACAGAAGGTTCGTGGGGAGGAGGCGAGCCAATCAGGGTGCAGTGTAGCACCGATGAAACATACAACTTTCCTCTAGTTCTTAAATGCTTCTTCTCCACCCCCACACCCCACTATCATGATCCCAATTCTACCTTACAAATCTGGCTCGACTGGAAGGTGTACACTAGTACAAATTAGAGCTGGAAACACAGGGAATGCATGGCAGATGAAACTCTCAGGACCAGTGGCGATACTGAGAGGGTGGAGGGAAGGTGGAGTGGAAAGGGGGAACCAATCACAAGGATCTACATATAACCTCCTCCCTGGGAGATAGAAAACAGAAAGTGGGTGAAGGGAGATGTCAGGCAGTGTAAGACATGACAAAATAATAATAATTTATAAATTATCAAGGGTTCATGAGGGAGCGGCTAGTGGGGAGGGAGGGGGGGAAATGAGCTGATGCCAAGGGCTCAAGTAGAAAGCAAATGTTTTGAGAATGATGATGGCAACAAATGTGCACATGTGCTTGACACAGTGGATGTATGTATGGATTGTGATGAGTTGTACGAACCCCCAATAAAATGATTTTTAAAAAATCAGGTCACAGCTTGATGACCTCATTTGGAGGCGCCATGGAGATAAATAGCTCACTGAAGGCCAGATACAGAGACACTCAGCTTCGTCTTCCTGCTGACAAGACACATGGAGCTACACTAGAGCCCTAGAGCTGGAAGAGCCACATGGAGACCCCTGCCAACACTGAGATGCTTTCACTGCCACTGGATCCCCAAGACTTTCTACCCACTGGCCTGTGATCTTCCTGCATTTGGCATCATTACATGAAGAGGAGTTTATAGATTGGTATCAGGCATATGGTCTAAGATCGGATTTAATCTGGGCTAGGATGTGTTCTTAATGTACAATTGCTCTTTGATATAAAGTTCTGTGAATTTGTTTCTCTAGTCAACCCGGACTGACACAGGGCTCATATCCACCCCCTGTGTTGCAGAGTAGAACTATGTTCCATGCCTTGTTCATGGCCATGGTCTTCCAGTGGCAGACTGTCATGTGCTCCCTCTGGGGGGGGGGGGGGGCACCTCTCTCTGGGTGGGCCTGAACCCTCAGCCTTTCTGTTGGTATCCAAGCACAACCCCAGGATTGAGTAAGCACTTAATAAGTCTCCATCAAGAAGCCTGACTGGTCAGTGTGACCACCACAGTGGCATGGGAGCACTTACCCATATCCTTACAAAGCACTTCTGTCTAGATGCCCCATCCACACTTGAAACTCGCCGTTTTTCCTCATGAATGGCCATACCACAATCCAACAGGTGCTTAGACCAGAATTGAGGGTCAGGTCAGCCTTCCCACTGCCTCTCCTCTCCTCCACACACGATGGCAGGCCAACACCGTTCCGTTCGGCTGGAATTTCTCCGTCTGTCTCATCCTCTCCTTGCCATTACCATTGTGTCTTCTCAGGCATCTATCACCTCTTACCCAGTTCACTGCAGGGATCTTCTAACCCCTGTAGACACCATTCTAGGGAAGCTGCCACAGGGGCCTTTCTGAAGTGTAGAGGGGATGGTGTCCACCTAACCCCAAAGCACTTCTGACTCCCCGGAGCCCACCAGCATTCAGTTAGCCCCTGGCCACCCATCCTACCTCAGTCCTTGCTCTCCCTCCCTCCCCTCATCCTTTCAGAGCTAGTGAGGGGTCCCAGCATGTGATGGACACCTCATATCTTTGCTTCTCCAACACTTCTGCCTGTGCCCACGCAGACCCCTGCTCATCTTTCAGAACTCATCTGAGCTATTCCTGAGGACCCTCCACAAGTAGAACTGATCATGATGTGCTTTGAGCGATTATCACATGCAACCGCAGGCCCCTATTAGCATCTATAATCATGTTTTCTTACCTGTTGATGCGACTTATTTTCCCATGAGGCCATGAAGCCATGGCGGGAGGGGCCAATATGGATTGGTACCTCTAGGCACAGCCCTAGCAGGCCACTGTCCTTAGCACCTACTAGTGACCCGGGAAATGAATTTGTCTGGACCCGAGTTTAAAGAGCTTTGAGCGCTGTGCAAGTATGTAGAGCCATATCCCTTGAGTATTCTCACATGACTTGCCTCGTTTAATTCTAATAACGCATGAGAAAGGTAGTCTGACTATTGGTACCATTTCACAGCAATAGAGAGATGCTAAATGACACCCCCTGCATCCCAGAGCTGGAAAGAATCACGGAGAAAGCCCAAGAGGAAGAGAAATCCCCGAGAGCATCCCAAAGAGAGCAGCTGATGCTGTTGGAAAAGCTGGTCGTGACAGTAAATGTTTGCTGTTGGCAGATGGTTTTTCAAAGGTGAATCAATAAAATGAATTACAAAATGAATTACGGTTTATCACTCTCTTGTTTTCATGTTTCAGGAGAAGCAACAGGGCTGGTGTCTCTTAAATGCTCTTTCTCTCGCAGCCTTCAGGGTGGCCTGGTGCAATCTCTGTTCAAAGGCCATTGTTCCCTAACTAACTGTACAGGTCAGACCTGCCTGGCCGTTCACCCAATTACTGGCCGTTCACCCAATTACTAACAACGGAACAAATTAGACCCCACCCCCAAACCAAATCCACAAAAGTCAAGTCCATTCGGATGCATAGAAATGCCCCACGGGGTTACCAAGGCTGTAAATCTTTAAAGAAGCAGGCTGCCACTGGGCCCTCTGGGCTCCTAAATTAGACTCACACCTGTTGCAAAAGCAGTTACAAAGGGTTGGAATGCAGTTTGGGAACCCCAGGACTGGAAACTGTGCACCTGCAGGGGAGGCATAAGCTTGATTTGGACCGGAAGCTGCTTGCTCTGTCCTCCTGCGTGAGCTAAGAGAACACCGGAAAGATGTTTACTTGACTTTATTGAGTCTGCGAAGGCATTCAGCGGTGTGGCTCATAACCAACCATGGATAGTCTTGAGAAGAATGGGAATTCCACTTCATCGTGGAGGCAGTTGTGCAAAATAATGGACTATTGCCTGGTTTAAAATCAGAAAAGGTGTGTGTCAGGGTTGAACCCTCTCACCATACTTACTCAGTCTGCATGCTGAGCAAATCATCAGAGAAGCTGCGATTTTGATTCCATGGAGAAGAATGTGGCATCGGGATGGGAGGAAGGCTTATTAGCCTGTGATATGCAAATGTCACCACCTTGCTTGCTGCAAGCGAGGAGGACTTGAAGCACTTGCTGATGAAGATCGAGGATTGCAACCTTCAGTGTGGATTACCACTCAGTGTAAAAGAAAACCCAAATCCTCACAACTGGACCACTAGGTAACATCGTGATAAAATGGAGAAAAGATTCATGTGAAGGCTATCATCTTGCAGAGCTCCACAATCCATGCCCACGGAAGCAGCAGTCCAAAGACTAAAAGACGCGTGGCATGCGATGCAGCTGCTGCACAAGACCTCTTTAGAGTGTCGAAAGCAAGAAGGGCTCTTGGAGGGCTAAGGTGAGCCGGACCCAAGGCAGGGTCTTTTCAGTGACCCCATGTGATGTGAAAGTTACACAGTGAATAAGGAAGACCATTAAACGGTGGCGCTGGGGAAGAATGTTCGAGGTGCCATGCACTACCAAAACAACACACAAATCTGCCCTGGAAGAAGCATGCCAGAGTGCTCTCCAGAGGCAAGGGCAGTGAGACTTCATCTCACGTACTTGAACAGGTCCAGGAGAGACCTTCCCCGGAGAAGGACATCATGCTTGATAAAAGTGGAAGGGCAGCAAAAACAGAGGAAGGCCCTGGAGGAGATGCACGGACACAGTGGCTGCGGCCATACGAGCCAACTGAAGGACAACCCGAGGATGGCGCAGGACCGGGCACCGTTTCCTTCTGTTGTGCATAGCATGGCTACGAGTTGGAACGGGCTCAACGTCCCCTAAGAATAACGACGAGTGAGCTGGGAAACTATTCCAGGTATTTCTGTAATCATCTTCTCATGCCCTTCTTCACCACACTCTCCTCCCACTGGCCACAAGAGCACTCAGCACTGTGTGTGCTGTACGATTTCTGGAATCCAGTCCTCACACCCGTGGGCTCACACTGACCGAGATGACTGCTTGGGAGAGGAACTCGGTGGTTTCTCTTGAAGTTCATGAAGCATTGCACTTCATACCTTCTCTGTATTGCAGGTACTACCTTATCTACGTTGTATTCAGTGCCTTAGTGGCACAAATGGAAGGAGCACTAATAGAGTCATGGTTAAAGGGGTAGACTACTAGCCAAGAGGTTGGCAGTTTGAACCTACCAGTCACTCCTCCAGGAGAACAATAGGGCAGTCTTCTATTTACAGCCTTGGAAACCCTGTGAGGCAGTTCTACTTTGAACCATCGGCTTTTAGTGTCTCAGTGAGATAGTTAAAGTTTATTGTGCCAACCTGGCTGATAAACACATGTGGGAGTAATTGAAGGGCGGAGAGATAAATGGCTCAGTGAGCCTTCCTTTCTAGTTCTCAGGTCTCTTGCTCTCTGATGGTCGGACCAGGGGGCAGCTGCCTTAGCCAGTCCCTGCTTCACCTAGCAAGGCTCACTTCCTGCAAGACATCCCTGAGAAGAAGCCACATGGACCTACCTCGATGCAGCCCTGGGTGCTGGAGCAGCCGTGTGGAGACCCCTGCCAGCGCTGAGATACTTACACTTTCACTGATTCGGCTTTCCTCCTGCAGTCGGCGTCATTGTGTGTGTTTTGTGAGATGGAGGAGGACTTTGTAGATTGGTGTCGGACATATGGGCTAATGTTGGATTTGTGGGCGTGGGCAGCATTGGGTTGGGATGCTTACATAAGAGTTTCTGTGGATTTGTTTCCCTAGACTAACACATTTGGAATCCACTTGACAGCAGTGGGTTGAAATGGTGCCAGTGGTGAAAGCACTTAGCCACCAACCAAAAGTTTGGAAGGTCAAGTCGACAAAAGAAAGGCCTGAGGATCTCCTTCTGAGAAGCCATTCATGGAACACTCAGGGGTGCGCAGTTCTACTCTGACCCATAGGGGGACACCACGAGTGGGAATCCACTCCTTCAGCCAACTGTTTGTGCCACGATGGGGGCCATGGAGTAATTGAATAGCTCTATTTAAGAACACATTGTATAAAAGGCTTTTAGGGTAAGGGGTTTTAATGCACACACACACACACACACACACACACACACACACACAAAGTGCTTTTATTATGGACTTTCAATACTCTACAACTCCCTGAGACCAGCAGAATGCTTTATTAATCCCAGTGCTTTGCATTTCATGTTGCCTATGGATTCTAACTTTGTAAAGGAAGCTAGCCTTTGTGGGCCAGCTGGGTATCTTGAGCACTACCTTGGGCGATTCATCTACATTGGTTCCTCCTAACCATGAGCTTCAAGGCAGGCAGGTGCTGTGTTCGGTCACTTGTCCAGGGTCAAGGTTGGAGCCCAGAGCTGCCTGATTCCAGAGGCCTCCTCCCACGCCTGGACTGTTCTCCACAAATCCAAAGCATTTGTTCAGAGGGAACTTATAGTGCAGTCAGCCCTGCCACTCTCACTTCCCAGAGCCCGTTTTCCCAGCTCCATGCCTTCCCGGCACCCTGCTCCAGCATTCACTTCGTCACTTTCAAATGGCCAAAGGGAGAGCAGAGTCCATAGAGGGACATGCAGCGGTCCTTTCCGCCCCCATGTTCCTGGTTTCCCACAAGAACTTCTGGCCAGGTGCAGCTGAAGTGGAGAACACTCGTGCTGGGGGGATGAGGTGTGCTCCCCCAGACAGTTGGAATCAAGTTGGAAAGGCTGGAGGGCAGAGAAGAGGTGCAGATGGGCAAACTTCTTTGGGAAGCCAGAATAGGGGGAGATTTTGCCCAGTGTAGAGGTGAAGGGAGAATTTGGAAACGTTTCAGGGAGGAAAGAGCGTTTGAGCAGAACCTTGGCCTTGAAATGGTGGTGGCGGGCATGGGGGCAGCCGTGTGACGGAGGACGTGGGTGGGAGGCAGAGCACAAATAGTGCTGTCAGGGCAGCAGCCTTGCTCTTGAGGCTCGGGTGTCTGGGGGCAAACAGAATGTGTGGCCATGCCTGTGGTCACGAGGATTGCTGGAGGAGCACTGTCCACCAAAGCCTGGTCTTCAAGGCAGTGTGTGCTCCTGAGACTTGGTGCTCAAGTGGCCATTGTGACTAATGCCCATTGTTAAGACTCCTGTTTCATTTTTGGTTTGTTTTTTGCAGAAGGAAACTCCCCTGGCGAACGCCGCCTTCTGGGCAGCCAGGAAAGGGAACCTGGCCCTCCTGAAGCTGCTGCTGAACAGTGGCCGGGTGGATGTGGACTGCAGAGACAGTGTATGGCCCGGAGCCGGTACATGCATGCCAGGAGCTCACCCTTCTCCCGCCTTGGCATGCGAGCCCCTCCCGAATGAGTACACCTCCCCCCACCATGCTTGTTTCCTCTGGGGGTGTGTGCTTGTGTTATTCTTTTCAAAAAGTCCAGGGTGAGATGGTGACCTTCAAAGAGGGGGGTGGGGGGGAGTGGGTGGAATCAGAAGCAAAGGAAATAATTAACATGCATAAACTGGAGTGGTCCCCAGGAGGCCCCAAGAGGCTGGAGAGAGGGACACTGCACCAGGAACCAGAATTGGCACATTCCAAGAAAAAAAGGTGGTTTAGCCAAAGAATTCAAGCCAACTGCTTCTGGGAAAAGATAAAGACCATTTACAGCAGAGAGGGCCTTCCACAAACATGGGGGATTTTGTTGTTTCTTTTGTTTTGTTTTCCTACAAGGACAGGAAAACAGATACTGAAGCCCCACCCAGCCTCTGTCATCCTTTCAGTACCTTTTACAAGAGTAAGTTCTTTCATGGGCAATAAAACAGGAAATAAAAATAGATGCAATAGCAGCCCACTGCAGGCCCCACTTAGCCTTTTCCTTCCCTAGCTCGAAGCTATTCTCTCTCTCTCTCTCTCTCTCTCTCTCCCCCTCAGCTGGACAAGGAGAGCCTCAGCTGAGGGCGAGCTATGATGTTTTGGTTTGATCCTGATTGTTTTCCTGAAAACAGGGTGTGCCCTTTCCAGCAGTGATTGCACTCTTGTGCTAAGTGAAACCAGCCCCCAGCCCCAGGGTGGTATGTGTGTTTGTGGGGGGGAGGGGGCAGGAGGGTGTGTGTGTGTGTGTGCAAGTGCACAGCATCTCAGGTTGGCACCTCCAGACCCACTGTCCCCTCTTCTCCAACTTCCTTCACATCCAAGAATCTGACTCTTTAATATGCATTGCAGCGGCAGATTTGCCTGCCAGCTGGCTTCCTGTTGGGGTGGGCCAATGGCAGCATTGGTGGGCAGGTAGTCAGAAGGTGGAAGGAGAGGGTGCTGGGTAGTCCAGTGCCCTGTTTTCGTCTCTGCACAGCGCTGTCACTCTCCAGGCCTCAAGAACCACAGTTTTCCCTCCCAGCTGCAGGCCGAGGGCCAGGAGGCTGGTAATGAAGTGCCCAGCTACCAGCTCCAAACCAGACACTTCTTTGTACTATTGTTTCTTCATTAGACATTCTTAAGATTAGCCCCGTTTGGAGAACACCCTGTGTTTCTTGCCACAGCCCAGAGTGATGGAGTCTTGGGCATCGATGAAGTGACCACGCTGGTCTTATTTGCCTCAAGAGGCAGCACTGCCACCTTGGGCAAAACTACCTCACCCACCCTGACCACTTGAATGGTTGGCTTTCCCCTTTTTAAAGTCACTCCTTGCAAGGTGCTGCTGGGTCTTCCTCCTGGTGTCCCAAGATCACCCTGCTCTGCTAGTCCTTCCTCCCCGCCAGACAGCACCCCACACTACCCACCACCTGGCCCCTTTCCCCACCACCCTTCCTCTTGCCCTCAGGGCTCACACTGTCTCTCAGCTGGGTGACCTGTAGCTATTTTGAGCCAAAAATTTAGTTTTTTGAATAAGCATGAATGTGTTTATGTTTCCCTTCATTACAAAAACAATCATTTTATCCATTTATTCCCTAACCCCAAGGAACAACTCTAAGTGATAGTAGTAATTTCCAACATCTCATTCATTTTGAAATGGCATCTCAGGTTGGTGGCATGAAAGGGGCAAGGAAATGTTTGAGGCAGCCCTGTTTCCCCCGAATCTCACTGCATTCACCACCTCATGTGCCACCATGGAGTGCAGGCTCCAGGGTAGTTTTTTGTGGTGGTACTTGGTTTCTTAGGCTAATGCTGCACATACGGAAGGGCCTGAGGCCCCAGAACCCCCTAGGAAACCTGTAAGATTCATTAGAATACAGAGATTGGCCCTGTGGGATTTCATGGGAATGGTCCCTAACCTTGGGTCTGACATCCTCCTGCTTTTCAAATATCTTATCTCTGGGCTTCTATAGACCACTGTCTTAATTTGCTACCATCCAAGTTCAATTCCTAGGTTCAGGCTTCCTTTACATGGTGTGTTTGTTTATTCATTTTGCTTAGCTCATATCCAATGCTGTCCAGTACTGGTTATTTGCTGCTGACAACATGCTTACCACAAAAGTTTGCAGTGACAGATTCTTGTACTCATTTTAGATGCATTCATGGATATACTTCTTTGTCTTGCTCATTGTTTATTTGCACGTACACCTATGCTAATCCTCTGGTCAAAATCAAAAGATACACACACGCCCATACATCAAGTAGTAAAACTGGGACAATAAGTTAGCGTTGACATGAAAACTAAAATTTTAACTCTGGCAACACTATAAAGTAGATTGAATCCTTAACAAATCTAAAGTCCTGCTGAATATAAAGGAATATTTTTGAATATAAAGGAAACATTTTTGTGTAGCTTAATAAATCAACAGATACAACTTCTGCCATCTCTTTCTCCTTTGCCTCAACTTCTGTGTCGACATCCCTGAACCTCATGCTGAATTGAAAGACCGCTGCAGAGCACTTTCCTCTTTTTTTTTTTTTTTAACATTTTATTAGGGGCTCATACAACTGTTATCCCAATCCATACACACATCAATTGTGCAAAGCGCATTTGTACATCATTTCTCAAAACATTTTCTCTCCACCCAAACCCCCGACACCAGGTCCTCACCTTCCCCCTCCCTCCCCGCTCCCCCCTCCCGCATGAGCCCCCAATAGTTTATAAATAGGTATTTTGTCATATCTTGCCCTGTCCGACGTCCCCCTTCACCCACTTTTCGGTTGTCTGTCCCCCAGGGAGGAGGTCACACACAGTTCCATGTAATCGGTTCCCTCTTTCCTACCCATTCGCCCTTTACCCTCCCTGTTTCACCACTTACACCACTGGTCCTATAGGGTTCATCCGTCCTGGATTCCCTGCATTTTCAGTTCCTATCTGTACCAGTGTACCTCCTCTGGTCTAGCCAGTCCTGCAAGATAGAATTCGAGTCATGGTAGTGGGAGTGGGGAGGAAACATTTAGGAACTAGAGGAAAGTTGTATTTTTCATCATTGTTACATCGCCCCCTGACTGGCTCATCTCCTCCCCGAGACCCCTCTGCAAGGGGATCTCCAGTGGCCTACTAATGGGCTTTGGGTCTCCACTCCGCACTCCCCCCATCATTCACTATGGTAAGATTTTTTGTTCTGATGATGCCTTACACCTGATCCCTTCGACACCTCGTGGTTGCATAGGCTGGTGTGCTTCTTCCATGTGGGCTTTGTTGCTTCTGAGCTTGATGGCCGCTTGATTACCTTCAAGCCTTTAAGCAGAGCACTTTCCTCTTCTGCGGCTTTCTTAACTGTAAAACAAACGAAGCTACTTCTTAAAAAATATTATTTCTAAAGTATCCACATTGAGTGATTTGTATTTCCTCTGGCTTTTGATTTATTTTGAGATCTTTGTAGGCCATGACAAAATATTTTCTCACCTACTAAATGTATTCATAGTTTGTCTATTCAGATTAGCCTTCAGTCAAGGGTTCTCATATCGAAATAAAATGTCTTACGTTCCAGGGGAAGTTAGTCATACTAAATTCTCCCCTCCAGCACTGGAGAATACTGAGGAAAGGGTTCAACAGAATTGTAGATGGTGTCCTCCACATGAAAGTCATGTTCACATACCAAATAGCCATGTGGCCAAGAAGCACTGCCTAGGCTTGCAGGGCTTCTTACAACTTCTCCACTCATGAGCCCTTTCCTCTCAAGAAATTTGCTTCGTGGACAAGTGCTGCCAGTAACACTCCGGGTACATGACTCCTTTGATGTTGAATTCATTTTTGGTGGTCACATGGTCAGAAACCTTTTACTGCTGCCGAATTTGGTCTTCCCCCCACATTCACTTCAGCAACCCACAGTGTAAGCAGCTTTGTCGGGAGATCAGCAGCTGTTCTTGACTCTGTTTCGGGTGTCTTTATCCACAGTCAGCACGACGTTGCCCAAACTCGCTGTGCCATTCGCACAAGTCCACAAAAGCCCAGGGGACAGCTTACCATGAACTGAAATATCATTTCTGAAACTCTTTTTTGTCACTTAGATGAAGGTTTACAGAGCGGCCATCAGGTGTAGGCTCAACCGTGTGTATGTGCTTAGTTTTAAGTCCTCCCCCCACAGTCCCTTCCAGGTACCATGGCTTCTCCCCCCTGTCCCGTGTTCTCTGTGTTCTTCCCCCTCGTGCCAAATACCGCCCGGTGGCAAGAATGGTTGACTGTTCTCACATGGCAGTGGGGTCAAGTTCCAGATCTGTAGGGTGACTAAGGGTCATAGTTTGGGTGGGGAGGGTGTCCCACTAGTCTGTAGCCATCCAGTAAGCTTGGTTTCCTTATGGTTTTTTAACTATTATTTTACCATCTAACATTTACTCAACACTAGTCCGTGTCACATTATTAAGCATATGGCCTGAATTGTCTCCTTCATTCATTTAAAGAGACAGATGCTTTTATTATGCCCCCATTATACAGATGAGGAGAGTGGGATTTTGAAAGGCCATGTACCGTGCCCATATCCTGCATGCCTGCAGAATCCCACGGTATAAATAACAAACTTCTAACGTCACTTATTGCCGCATACCTTGGGAGCCTGCCTCATCAGCACACCCTTATCTCTTGTCTTCCGCTCCGGTAAAGCTGTCTACAGGGCGCGGAGAGGTGGTGAGTGAGATCACCATTCAGAAGCCCTGGGAAATAGCTATAGATGAGACTACAAACGTCTGCTCGACTTGGCCAGGGCCATAGCACATGATAGGCCTCAAGTCCCTGAATCTTGAAGGGGAACGAGATCTTGGCAGGCCTTGCTTGTTGGAGATGGAGTAAATGAGCCCAGTCATGTCCAACAACTTGCCCAGATTACACTGCTGGAGGATGCCAAAGGTGGGCTTGGGCGCCAAAGCTCCTGCCTCTTCTCACGTTTATCTTTCGATTCTTTGAAATACTTTTCTTCTTTACCCAAATGACTCTGAAGATAAAGACTTCTACACACAGGAAACCCACCAATACCACCTGATATATATTTTTTCACTAATAATGCTGATTTAGCTCAGGAATCCTAACGTGAAGTCATTCTCTCGCTGCCGCCTTAAAAGCCAGTCTCTCTGGCTCCCTTGGACTGCACGTCTGAAGGCAACAGAAATGAGTGCATTTGTAAGTTAAAGTCCAACCTCTGCCAATCGCTGCCTCCCTTTTTTTCCCACTGACTCGGCATGATAAGATTATTCACGAGGCTCTTTGATGACTGCAGGAAATTTGGAGCTCAGTCGTGTCCTAAATGGGCTGATGTGTCTGCAGTCTTTTCCGGGAACTCTCTCTGAGCCTGACCTCACTCTGCCTGTTTCTCCTCTGTGCAGCACGGCACCACGCTCCTCATGGTAGCCTCCTATGCTGGTCACCTGGACTGCGTGCGGGAACTGGTTCTGCAGGGAGCGGACATCAATCTGCAGAGAGAGGTAGGCATTGCCAGGGTGAGAGACGGGGCAGTGTTCCCAACAGCGAATGGGTAAGGTCTGACTCAGGGACGACCCAAGTGTGTCAGAGAGTAGCTGTGTGGACCCTAGTGGTCTCAATCACTGCTTTTTTGGAAATAGATTGCCAGCCCTTTCTTATGAGGCACCTCTGGGTCAACTCCAAATTTGATTGGCAGCTGAGCACATTAACCATTTGTACCACTGCGAGACTCTGCATTGGTCTGGAGTGGGGGATAATCACTGCTTTGCTCCTATGGGACAGGAAAGCTTAGACTCAGGAGCTCATTCTGTGACAGCGCATCCATGTGGTTCAGTGGAGGGTCTTGTCAGGCACGGGACTCCGTCAGAGGTTGCCAGACTTTCACCACGAGCCTTGAACACTCCTACACTGGACACCAAGCTGAACGCCGGTCTTACTTCCTCTCTGGGGATACGATGCTACAGAATTGATAGGATGTTCACATACTCATGACGACCTTTGGTACGCGGTCCCACTAGTGCCCCTGTGAGTTTCTGAAACTGTAACTCTTTAGTATAGAGATCATTATGTTTTTAGATGGATTGAGTCACCAACCTATTCTTTTTCTTTTTAATCATTGGGGACTCATACAGCTCTTATCACAATCCATACATCTATCCATTGTGTCAAGCACATTTGTACATTTGTTGCCATCATCATTCTCAAAACATTTGCTTTCTACTTGAGCCCTTGGTACCAGCTTCTCATTTCCTCCCCTTTCTCCCCCTCCCTCCCCCACTCATGAACCCTTGATAACTTATAAATTATTACTATTTTTTCATGTCTTATACTGACCAATGTTTCCCTTCACCCACTTTTCTGTTGTTCATTCCCCTGGGGGGGGGTGGTTATAGGTAGATCATTATAATCGGTTCCCCCTTTCTTCCCCAACCTTCCCCTTCCCCTCCTGGTATTGCTACTCTCATTATATGTCCTAGGGGTTTATCTGTCCTGGATTCCCCGTGTTTCTGGCTCTTATCTGTACCCGTGTACATGCTCTGGTCTAGCCGGATTTGTAAGGTTGAATTCACCAACCTATTCTTGATGGGCTCACTTACTGGGACTGCCGAACCTTCCACACCAAACCATATTTTCAAAAGACTTGTCCGACTAGCCATGTGTTCAATAAGTTCCCCTCCAAAAACAACAACTGCAAAGCATGTAAGTGACCGTCGGATGAAAGTGTGAGCCTCTTCTCACACACCTTTCAAGGCAGGCTGGTTGGAGGTTACCTGGTGGACGGGTCAAGGGGAGCAATGAGGAGGCAGGGACATTTCATAAACTTCCAGGATCAGATCTGAGGGGCTCTGTCCATTAGTTGACCATTATGGGAACACATCCCTGGAGTGAACCTGCCCTGTCAGTCCCCATGACTCAGACTTGATGTGGATTATGGGACAAGCTCCAGACCAGAGTGGACTGCTTAGTTTCCCTTGATTCACCCCACAGTCCTTTACTAAGGCACAAGGGATAAATCAAATATTCATCAAGTCAATAGACTCCTCTCTCTGCCTGGACTGCATGCTTCAGGAGAGCAAATTAAGACACACCGCCCTGCCTGTGCCGGGTGTTCCAAAGGGTATTCTGCCAGCCTTCCTCTCACCCGTTCTGGCTGGGTGACACGCGAGGGAAAGAACTGGGGGTCTTTTCTCCATCACATAGACCAGAAAGCCTGATCTGTAGAGAGGGGTAGTACAGAGAAACTCTAATAAATGCACATGATCAAATCTTCTCCCAGACCCTTTTGAGAAATTTCCCTAACAGCTATTTTTTTAAAACTCAAATGGCTCTTATATCCCAATATGTTTCTAACAAAACACCAGTTAGATAGAGTTAAACAGAAGCCATTGGGTAAACAGGTAACCAGACGCTCCTTCAGAAGGGACCCTGGCAAGAATCCCACCTCCCCAAACTGTGACCAGTCTCACTAGCAAGTGGCCTCAGCTCAGCTTTACAGTGTCTGACCCCCACCCCACTGAATCAGACCAGGAACATCTGCATATCTGAGAACATAGCCCCACCTCTAACGCCCCAGATGAAAACAATTTTCATCTGCACTGAGCTCAGCGCCCACCGGAAGACAGGGACCCATAGCTGGGGTGACAGGCACACAGCCCCCACTCTGTCAAGTCCATGCCCAGGCCAGGCAACCAGAAATACTAAGAGTCTGCCCATGGCCACCACATGACCCACCCCATTCGGAAGTGCCTGGAATTCTGAGGTTAAAGTGGAAAGCCTCACTACTAAGAAATCTGAAATGGGTACTAAAGCTCCATTTTAAACATAAAAAGTAAAACTCATTTCTACCCCAAAGAAGGAACAATACGCCTTCCTTTTTCTCCATCCCAGAAGGTCCAGTCTCAGTCCTGTAAGACAGCACCTGTGGGTGCGGCAGGTCCCACTCCTGGATGCCACCATTGTGCAAGCCAGCCATGCTCTCCCGGACAGAGTCCCTCGCAGGGCCGCTCAGCTGCAGGGGAGGCCATTTCTCTTTGTGGTTACCCTGGATATGCCCGGAGCTGGGCGGGAGCCCCGCCTAGATCTGCAATCCAGTAAACAGCTTGGCCGGTACTCTGGGCTCTGCTCTGTCAGAGTGATTTTCCCAGTAGCATGTCAGGTTTAGGGAAATTCTTAGACTATTTCCAACTTTTTCATAATACACGTACTAGACCACCAACCCCCAAACTGAAACCCAGGGAGTTGATTCCAACTCATAGCGACTCCTCGATAGGGTTTCGGAGACAAGGCTCGTCGGTCTCCTGTGGGTTTGAACCTCCAGCCTTGCAGTTAGGAGTCTAAGACTTAGTCTACAGCACCCACCAGCACTCCTTAATAGGTGACCGTAGCATATACTATATATCAATATAACTTTGATATGCCCCAGGCAACCAAGAAGGAGTCCCGGTAGTGTAGTGCTTACGAGTGGGGCTGGGAACCACTGGGTCACTGGTTCCAAACTACCAGCCTCACCATGGGAGAAAGACAAGGCTTTCGTCTCCCACAAGGAGTTATAGTCTCGCAAGCTCACAGGGGCAGGTCCACCTGCCCCATAGGGTGCCTGTGAGTCAGAATTAACTAGAGGTCAGGAAGTTGGCTTGGTTCTGTTCATCCAAAAATCCATGTGACTCATGTTATTACCATCTCCGCTTTATTGCTGTGGTCTGAAACCAAGCCGGCAACACCTCCGGCGTATTGTACGGCCAGGGTGCTCCTGTGAAGCAAGGATGGCAAGGTTTGGACTTGTCTCAAGTCCTCAGGCTATGTTATCAGAAAGGACCGGCCCCTGGAGAAGGACATTATGCTTGGTAGAGTTGGTGAAAAAGATGTAGCCTCTCAAGAGCTGGAGTGACGCAGTGGCTACGACAATGAGCTCATAGAAGTAGGAATTGTCAGGGTGGGGCAGGCTGGGCAGTGTTCCGTTCCCTTGTACATAGGGTTCCTGTGAGCCAACCCAGTCTGTGACACCTCGCAACGTTAGGTCATTTTCACATCAGCAGTTAATTTCTCTATGAGAGAAAATGTTGAGACCCATTTAGAATTATAGTGGAAGTTTACCCTAATCTATTTTTTCCCTCCCGGCTTTATACTGACTTATTATTATTTTTTAATTGTTTTATTAGGGGCTCATACAACTCTTATCACCATCCATATATACATCAATTGTGTAAAGTACATTTGTACATTCATTGCCCTCATCATTCTCAAAATATTTCCTCTCCACTTAAGCCCCTGGCATCAGGTCTTCTTTTTTTTCCCCTCCCTCCCCGCTCCCCCCTCCCTCATGAGCCCTTGATAGTTTACAAATTATTATTTTGTCATATCTTGCCCTGTCCAATGTCTCCCTTCACCCACTTTTCTGTTGTCTGTCCCCCAGGGAGGAGGTCACATGTAGATCCTTGTCATCGGTTCCCTCTTTCCAACCCACTGACTTATTATAATGTTAAAAAGAAAGGCAGATTTTCTCTAATAAAAGCAATATGACCCCGATCTTCTTACTTAAAATAAAATTGCTCTGAAAGTCACTTCCAACACAACTCTCTCTCTCTCTCTCTCTCTCTCTCTCTCTCTCAAGAATTGAGAAAATAGAGGAAAGAAATATTGGTTTGGTTTCTAGCCAATCTACGGTTTTTACGATTTTATACTTCTCTGGATCCAAATGCTCAGCTGATGCCGTCTAGTGGACACCGATCTCACTGCAGATGAAAATTGTTCTTGGGGACATTAGAGGTGGGGGCTGCGTTCTCAGCTTGCATACGCCTATCACCGTGCATTGAGCACAATGAGCCTTCGGGATTTACCCAAAGGGAACCAAGATCTGAGGTTGGCTGGGTGGCTCAGTAGTGCTGTTGGGCAAGTTCCCAGTCAGCCCCTGAATTTCCTGAGACCCTGCCAATCGGGCCATGGAGCTGCTGAGCCAAAGGGAGGGAGCACCAACCCCCACCCACCCCCACTCCCCGCTTGTATTGGAAGCTGCAAGAGAACGCCTTGCCATGCTGTGGAACTTTTAACAGACTTCTTCTTTGGTTCACTCTTAATCCATTTTGCAATATCAGAATCTTTGTTTTCTGAGAGAGTACCTGCCGTTGTTTTCTTGGCTTGGCAGGTTGGCTGTCCAGACATGCGGAACTTGTTAGCAAGACAAACTGGAGGCCGGTGGTCCTGAAAGACCACTGCTGTTGAGGGCTAGCAATATTAGTTTGACTATAGCTCCCAGACGTAGGAGCTGCCGAAGGAGTCGGTGTGAAGCCGCTTCACTGGAAATGACCCTTGGTAGCTTCTAAAATGCAATGTCCTTTCAGAAGATGAGCGTTGTCCCAGTTTTGCCAAGTTTCTGCATCCAGGTGTGTGTCCTTCCTAAGGTTTCTGGAATCCAATATCCTTTGCTGTACGGAAGGGAGGGTGCTACTGCTGTCTTCTGTGGGAACCAAGGGAAAACATTACTCCTGCCTTGGATGCAGAAGGC